GGGCTGCCGTCGAGCCGAGCGACGCCGGCGTCTGTGTGTGTGATTAGCGCGCATTCCTTTGGGCGGGTTGGGCTCCGCCGCACCTTTTCACCGCCCTCACGCCAGCGTGTGCGCGCTGAGTGAGGGCGGTGAAAAGGTGCTGCGTCGCGCTTGGCCAAAAAGCCCGGCGGCGGCGGGCGAGCCTGACGCCATATCGTTCCCGATAATGTCCGCCGCCAGCCATGAGGACTGACTGCGGCCACATCGGCGCCTCCCAAATCACTCCAAGGGGCAACGTGATGAAATTTCAAGTCCAAGGCAGCGGGAATGCGGAAAACGCGCGTCTTTGGCGCTGGGAAGGTGACGAGATAGTGAGAGGAAATCCACAAATGTCCTGAAATGACGGGAAAATGTCCAAATGTGTCTTTTATCCGCTTCCCGAAGAGGATTGTCCTCATTCGGAGGGACAACAAATTTGGAGGCATCGACAAATGAGATGTCCCGCTCATTTTCAAAGAGGGTCAAACTTGACTCGATTGTGATTTGGGTTGAGCGGAATGAATGTCGCCACTTGTCTCGTTGGTCTCCAACGTTGGGAAGTTGGATATACGTTCTTCGAAGACGACTGGACGCGTGCGGCGATACCTTTGCGTTCCGAAGGTCGGCCCCCCCAAGACGGCGGCGCCGACGTGACCTTTCCGTGCGCCTTTGCCCCCCAAGGTCGCCGTGGTGAAGATGAAGCAGACGGAGAGCGTCTACGCCATGAAGATCCTCAACAAGTGGGATTTGCTGAAGCGGGCCGAGGTAAGGCGCTCCGCCGCGCGCCGGCGAAGTGCGGCGGCGCGCTGACGCGTGCCGCGTGCGCAGACGGCGTGTTTCCGCGAGGAGCGAGACGTGCTGGTGAGAGGAGACAGCCAGTGGATCACCACGCTGCACTTTGCCTTCCAGGACGACAACCACCTGGTGAGTACGCCTTCTTTCTCCCTTCTTTCTCCTCCCCCTCCCGCCGACACCCAAAAAGCGAGGGGGCGGTCCCAGTCAAAAGTAGTGATTGAGCGCCTGACCCGCCCCCGCAGTACCTGGTGATGGATTACTATGTGGGCGGAGACTTGTTGACGCTGCTCACCAAGTACGAGGACCGTCTGCCGGAGGACATGGCCCAGTTCTACGTGGCCGAGATGGTGCTGGCCGTGGACTCGGTCCACCAGCGGCGCTACATCCACAGGTGCGTCGCTTTCCGCCCGCACGTGGCTCACCGCCGCGAAGGCTTTGAGCAAGGAGACGTTCCCCTTTTGTTCCGTCGGTCCGTTGGGGCTTTGATTTGGATTTCTCTCTCTCTCTCTTTGGGGCCTTTCAGAGACATCAAGCCCAACAACGTCCTGCTGGACGTCAACGGCCACATCCGTCTGGCCGACTTTGGCTCTTGCCTGCGGATGATGGAGGACGGCACGGTAGGACCCGGCCGCACGCACGCAGTGCCGAGCGAGGTGCGAGCGCGCACGCGCGCGCGTTGTCCGCTTGTTGCAGGTGCAGTCGTCGGTGGCGGTGGGCACGCCGGACTACATTTCTCCCGAGATTCTGCAGGCCATGCAGGACGACATGGGCCGCTACGGTCCCGAGTGCGACTGGTGGTCCCTGGGCGTGTGCGTGTACGAGATGCTGTACGGGGAGACGCCCTTTTACGCCGAGTCGCTGGTGGAAACCTACGGCAAGATCATGAACCACGAGGTCAGCGATGCCGCCGAAAGCTCAACCGAGGCTGCGCTTCGGGGCGCGGCGAGCCGATTGTGCTGCCGAGCGGCGAATCGGTCTTCTCGCCCTCAACTTTCAATGCCAAACCGCCAACTGAGTCCTCCTCACGGCTGGCGTCAGGTGGCGTTGGCCAACGTGTCCCCGGGCTCTCGCCCTATTTTCTGGCTCGCGTCCTCCTTTCTAAAAATGGAGCGCCTCGCCTCAGCGGGCGCCGCCGCCGCCCTCCATTTTGCGGCATCCGGGACGTCGCCCAAAGTTGCGCAATAGCCCGGCGACGCCAACCCACGATTTAGCGGCGCCTTAGCCCGGCGGAAGAGATTCGCAGGCGCGTCGCGGAAATGATCCCGTACCGAGCCGCTCTGCCACCGGCGACCTTTTGGACAGCGCGAGGGCAGAACATTCAGACTCTTCTTTTGCTCTTACTCGATTGTGGCCACCCCCCGAAATGAGTGCACACCGATTTCCCCTTTTCTAGACCCCCGTTGAGACGCACCGAAAGCAAAGGACATCATCTGCTTCGGCGAAAACCGTGACGCTGGACTCTGACCTTTGAGGATGTCGTTGTCGTCTTGCGTGGCCTTTTCACCAACGTGTTATTTGTGTGACCCTGACGAGGTTTACTTTGCCGCCCGCAGGAGCGTTTCCAGTTTCCCACCCACGTGAGCGACGTGTCGGATGAGGCCAAGGACCTGATCCAGCGCCTGCTGTGCTCGCGCGAGCGGCGCCTGGGCGCCAACGGCATCGCCGACTTCAAGACGCACCCTTTCTTCGGCGCCATCGACTGGGACAACATCCGCTCGGTCAAGGCGCCTTATATCCCCGACGTGTCCTCGCCCACCGACACGTCCAACTTCAACGTGGACGACGACGTCCTCAAGAACCCGGTGAGGGGGCGCCTCTCTTTGACCGCATATCCCATTTGAAGTTGGGACACGACGAGAGGTTCGGGTGTCCCGGGAGCCCGACGCCCGTCGGGTTCTTTTCGAGCGCCGCGGCGACATCGGAAAGAGCAGGCTAGGCTCCCTGGGCCGCTCCCCGCCCGACTGCCAATCTGATTTCCTGCATTTTCAAATATTTCGTAACAATGACAGGAAAAGAGTCCATTGCGACCTTCCCCAAAAGTGTTTTCTGACAAGGTCAAATTGCTCTTCATCATATACAAGCCACGGCATAATTCGATTGGGCCGACCGACTGTTACTGGCTCAAGCGCCTGACGCGCTAACGCGGTGGGCCCCCCCCGTGTGGCTTCGGCAGGACATCAGCCCGCCGATGTCCCACAGCGGCTTCACCGGGCAGCACCTCCCCTTCGTGGGCTTCACCTACACCACCGACAGCCGCTTCTCGGACGGCGCGCGCGGCCCCGGGCGGGAGGGGGGCGCCGACCTCCAGCTGGAGGCCTTCGAGAGGAGGATCCGCAGCCTGGAGCGGGAGAAGCAGGAACTCCACCGCAGGCTGCAAGGTGACTCGCCGCTCGGCGTACGCCGCGTGCGGCTCGCCCGCGACCCCGTGCAAAACGGCCGCCGTCCTCTCAGCCGCAATTTTGTGATTTCGATGGCTGAGACGGGAGATGTTTTTGTTTTGTCTGTGGGTGTGCGTGCAGAGTCAACGCAGGCTCCGCCTTCGGGAGGGACGGCGAGTCGAGACAAAGAGATCAAGAAGCTGAACGAGGAGATCGAGCGTCTGAAGAAAAAGCTGGCAGGTGAGAAAGGGAACGCCGGTCTTTGCCGGACGGCGCCGTGACCGGCGGGCCGCGGCCCCTCCCCTCCGCCAGACTCCGACAGGCTGGAGCACCAGCTGGAGGAGGCGGTCACCCTGCGGCAGGACTACGACAGCTCCGCCTCCAAGCTCAAGAACCTGGAACGGCAGGCGAAGATGCTGCGGCTGGAGAAGGACGACGTCCACAAGGTGAGCGCTCGCGCGGCCTCGGCTGCGCGTCACCGCTTCCGAGGACGTCGGAGTCGGCCAAGGAAGGAAAAAAAGGCAGCCGGGTTGCAGGGGTTTGTTTGTTTGTGCGTGTGGTCGGTCGGAGCAGCAACTGCTGGAGGCCCTGGAGCGGCTGAGGACGCAGTCCAAAGAACTGAAGGAGGCGCATTCGCAGAGACGCTCGGCCCTGCAGGAGTTCTTGGAGCTGTCGGAACGGACGGCCGAGCTGCGCGCCGCCAAGCAGCGTCTCGCCCGCCAGCTTCGGGACAAAGAGGAGGAGACGGACGCCCTCCTTCAGAAGATGGACGTCCTGCGGCAGGACGCCCGCAAGAGCGACAAGAACCGCAAGGAGGTGAGGAAGGGGGCCCGCCTTCCCCCCACCCGGGAGGGCGGCGGGGAGGCGGGCTCGCTCACGCGCCGCCGCTTTTCCGCCGCTTCTCAGCTGGAGGCTCAGCTGGACCAAGTGACGGCGGAAGCGGCCAAGGAGAGGAAGCTGAAGGAGCACAGCGAAGACTACGCCAAGCAGCTGGAGGCCGAGCTCCAGCGCGTCAAGGTCAGAGCTTGCGAGGTTCGCCGCTCGCGTTCCGACCGGGCGGGCTCACGGCGGTCCCGCTTTTTTCAGTCTCAACGGGGGCGAGGAGCGGCGGCCGGGGGGGCGGAGTCTCAGCGGGAGCAGTCCCGCCTGAAGGCGGAGGAGCTGGACAAGAAGGTTCTCTTCTACGAGGAGGAGATGCTGAGGAGGGACTCGGCGCACTCGTCCGAGATGAAGACCTTGCGCAAGGAGCTGCGCGACGCCGAGACTTTGCAGCTGGCCGCCAACAAGGAGATCCTGCAGCTCAAGGACAAGCTGGACAAGGACGAGAGGGACAGGTGAGCGTGGCGCGGCGAGACCCGCCCGCGATCCGCCGGCGCTGACCCGCCGCCGGCTCCTTTGGCGCAGGCGGGCCGAGATGGACGACGCCCTCGGCGTCCTGAAGGACAAGCACGAGCGAGAGAAGGACCTGCTGGCGGAAGAAAACCGCAAGCTGATGACCGAAACCGACAAGGTCAGTGACGGATGGTCTGGGGGGTTGTCTGCGCGCCGGCGTTCCCGCGCGTCGGTAACCGCGCCTGCTCCCGCCAGTTGTGCGCCTTTGTGGACAAGCTGACGGCTCAGAACCGTCAGCTGGAAGACGAGCTCCAGGACGCGTCCTCCAAGAAGGAAAGCGTGGCCCACTGGGAGGCTCAGATCGCAGAAATCATTCAGTGGTGAGTGCGCCGCTCCGGCCGCCGCCCAACCGCGCCCGCTCGGCTCACCGCGTGCGCGTCCGCGTGCGTGCGTTCAGGGTGAGCGATGAGAAAGATGCCCGCGGCTACCTGCAAGCGTTGGCCACCAAGATGACCGACGAGTTGGAAACGCTGCGCGGCTCCAACCCGGGCAGCAGAACTCTGGTACGTGACCGCCGCCGCTCTTGACGCTCGAGTAAAGGGCGGCGACATCCGTCGATGTTGGCGATCCAAGACGGCGAGCGTCCAGATTTGAAGTCGCCGGTTAGGCGGCGCCGCCCGTCTCACGGTGTCCGCAACGCGTTGGGCAGGACCCCCTGTGGAAGGCGCGGCGCAGCCAGAAGTTGGACATGTCGGCCCGGCTGGAGCTCCAGTCGGCTCTGGACGCCGAGATCCGAGCCAAGCAGATGGTCCACCAGGAGCTGCGCGAGATCAAAGCCGCCAACGTGGCGCTGGAGAGGTCGCGCCGCCACCGCCGCCGCCGCCTCCTCGTCCGCGCTCGGCCGGCCGTTGCGCTGACCGCGCCGGCTAACGCGAGCCGTCTGGCTCTCCTCCCCTTTCTGCCTCACTCGCTGCGGTCCCCTCGGCCGCCCCGTGCTCGCGCCTGCAGCAAGCTGAAGGATTCGGAGGAGCGAAGCAGCGAGATGGCGTCCCAGATTGAGGATCTGAAGAAGGAAATGGAGGACGGCCGATTGCGCGGGGACAAAGGTGAGGGCCGCCCCTCCGCCGACCCCGCCAGCGCCGCGGCGTGTCGGCCCGCCGCCTTCCTTTAACCCTACTGACTTTGTGCGCAGCGCTAAACCTTCCCGAGTTCCAGGACGCCATCTTTGAATACTTTAACACATCCCCGCTGGCGCCAGACCTGACCTTCAGGGTGAGTTTGTCCGCGCTCCTTGGAGCTTGCCGGGAACGGCCTTCGGGTCGGGGGCTTGTTCTTCGGTCGCCTTTCTTCAAGGATGCCAGCCCTGCCAACGACAAACAAATGAACACAAACAAGAACGTGACCGGCGGCCGTTGTCGGATGTCCACGCCTCTCGCCGATCCGTGTTGTCTCGGCGCCATCCAAAGCGGCCCGTTCGGACAAGCCGACCGGCGACTGTTGGGAACCGAAAACCGGCAGCCCGTCAGCGTCGACGGCGGGCTTGCAAAGGCTCCCGGCGAGCTGCGGAAAGCTCCCAAAATTTTTCCGCGGCCCGACCGAGTGGCCCCGTTTTGTGCCACCTGTCAGTCATTCGGGGGGGGGGATGGGAGAGCGGCGGTCGGTGAACTTGAAGGCTTTCGCCGTCCATCCCAAGTCGGGCTTTGGTTCCCGCTCGCTCTCAAGTCAACGCAGCTGCGGAGGAACGGTTGATGAAGCCCAAAGCGTCATTGGTTGCGTGTGTGTGTGTGTGAGACGTGCAGACCGGCGACCTGGACAGCACGGCGCTGAGATCCCAAAGCACGCCGCCCTCATCCGCCTCGGAGAACGAGGTAAGGCTCGGCTGCCGCCAACGACGCGCAGGAGGACCGTCTTGACGCCTGTTTTGTGCGCCTTCAGGATTTGAAGGCGTTCTCCGTTCCGCCGAGCCCCTCGCCCACCAACCAAAGTTCATCGGCGAGCTCGCCGAAGGTAGGCTCGGGTCGGCGCGGCCTCGTCCGGCGCGTGACTTGACGGCGTTGCGCCCCTTTGCAGCCCAAAGCTCACCAGCTGAGCATCAAGACCTTCTCCAGTCCCACGCAGTGCACCCACTGCACGTCCCTCATGGTGGGCCTCATGCGGCAGGGCTACGCCTGCGAAGGTAAAGGCGCTCGCCGGCCCGCCTGCGCACGCACCGGCGGGCTTGACCTTGACCTTGTCCTTGTCCTTGACCGGGTTTCCGCAGTTTGCTCCTTCATCTGTCACGTGGCCTGCAAAGAGCGCGCCCCCCTGGCGTGCCCCATTCCGGCGGAGCAGGCCAAGAGACCGCAGGGCGTCGACGTCCAAAGAGGCATCGGCACCGCCTACAAAGGATACGTCAGGGTACGACCGAGCTGCCCGCGTCCGGCACCGCGGCGGTTTCCGTCCCGACCTCGCCGCGAGTGCCGGAAATCTGCCGTACCTGAGAGAGAAGCGCGTGTGAGAGCGACGACCCCCTTTCCAAGTCTCGCGTGACGTGACGTTCGCCGGCAAAAAGCCGCCCAAGCGCGCGTTGGTCCAGTTGCGCGGCCCGCTCGCCGTGGCTTCGCAGGAGAGCTTCGCTCCCCTTTGGGGGCTGGCTGAGCCCGACGCGAACGCTCGCGGTTGCCGCTCGTGGTCCCAAGTGGCTGGCATCTGATTCCTTTGGGGTCATCCTCACCTCGCGCTTTGTCTTTGCGCCATGTTGATTCGTCCCTCCCGGCGGGCGTTGACCGCGTGTCACCAAAGCACGAGCCGACCGCTGAAACGCGTCCCCGGCGCCACCGCTATTAGCGGCGAGGACCTTCCCTTCCTGCGCCGAATGATGCCCGTCGGGCAGGCTCACGCCGCGACAGCGCCCCACCCCCCACCCCCGCCCCTCCCCCAAAAGGCGGCCTTCGCCCCGATGAAGCCCGATTGGGATTTGGCGGGGCCGGGCGCCGCGTGGGCTTTCCTGAGTCTCTCCTCGCCGTCTCGTCCGACCTCAGATTCCCAAGCCCAGCGGCGTGAAGAAAGGCTGGCAGCGAGCCTTCGCCGCCGTCTCGGACTGTAAGCTTTTCCTCTACGATGTGCCGGAGGGGAAGACCACGCAGCCCGGCGCGGCGGCCAGTCTGGTGCTGGATCTCAGGTAAAGCCGCGCAAACGCGCCGGCCCACTCGGCCCGTTTTTTTTTTTTTTTTTGTCCGTGGGTGACGCGTGGGCGTGGCCCCGCAGGGACGAGGACTTCTCCGTCAGCTCCGTGTTGGCGTCGGACGTCATCCACGCTTCCAGGAAGGACGTGCCGTGCATCTTCCGGGTAGGGATGGCGAGCGAAGGGCGCGCGAGGCCGAGCCGCCGGATGACGCCCGCTTGCGTTCTCAGGTGACGTCGTCGCAGCCCGGCTCGCCGCTGCGCGCCGCGTCCCTGCTGGTGCTGGCCGAGAGCGAGGGGGAGAAGAGGAAGTGGGTCCGCATCCTGGAGGGCCTGCGCGGCATCGTGGCCAAGAACTCCCTGAAGAACCGGCGGGTCCACGTCCTGCACGAGGCCTACGATGCCTCGCTGCCCATCATCAAGACCACGCTGTCCGCCGCCGTGCTCGGTCCGTCGCCGCCGCTTCCCCGTCCGCCCCCCGTCACAGCGGTGCCTTGACTTTCGACTTTTTCGCTCTGGCTTGAAATACGAGAGAGCTTTCAATTGGAAAGTTGGAAAAAAAAAGCCTCCCAAGACCGGACGGACTTCCTGGTCAGGTTACGGCAGAACTGAACCCAGTTGGGGGGCCACATCCAGTCGTCAAATTGCAGTTAGTGTCGGCTCAGTAGCCGTGTTTTTGATTTTTTTGCAATGATCATTTTGGGGGCGAGAAGGGCCCATTTTGAAAAGTTCATTTGGGCTGAGATGCGGGCTCGTAAGTCAAGGCACCGGCGGTGGCGGCACGTTCTGCCGCCGCCGCCGCCGGTGCCTTGAAGCCCGCCGTCCGCTTTGTCTCTGCAGACCGGGAGCGGATCGCCCTGGGCACCGAGGACGGACTGTTTGTGGTGGAGGTGACCCGAGACGGTGAGTCAACGGCGACGGCGGCATCCGGCTCGGGACGCGGCTGACGGCTTTGCCCGCTTTGTCTCAAAGTGATCGTGCGAGCGGCGGACAGCAGGAAAGTTCATCAGATGGAGCCCATGCCCAAGGAGGAGATGTTGGCGCTGCTGTGCGGGCGCAACCGCACGGTGCACCTTCACCCCTGGGGCCTGCTGGACGGCAGCGAGCCCGCTTTTGACATCAAGCTGACGGAAACCAAAGGATGCCAGGCGCTGACCTCGGGCCCGCTGCGGCCCGGCGGGCCCCCCTGCCTGCTGGCCGCCGTCAAGCGTCAGGTCAGAGGCGCGGCGGCGCCGACCGCCAACCCCCCC